GGGGCAGCAGCCTATAGATTTTGGGGGGCAGCAGCCTATAGATATATAGAAATGAACAGGAAGGGTCAGCAAGGAGCTGGAAGGTAAAGCAGCACAAAGGTAAAGTAGAAGGAGCAGAAAGGGTCAGAAATGAGCTGGAAGGGGCAGAAGGAGCACAAAGGTAAAGTAGGAGAATGAGCAGGAAGGGCCTGCAAGGAGCAGAAAGGTAAAGGAGCAGAAAGGTAAAGGAGCAGAAAGAATCAGAAGGAGCACAAAGGTAAAGTAGGAGAAAGAGCAGAAAGGGACAGCAAGGAGCACAAAGGTAAAGTAGAAAAGGGAGCAGAAAGGGACAGCAAGGAGCACAAAGGTAAAGTAGAAAAGGGAGCAGAAAGGGTCTGCAAGGAGCAGAAAGGGATCAGAATGAGAAAGGAGCAGAAGGGCGCAAAATAAGCAGAAAGTAGCAGAAAGGTAAAAGAGCAGAAGGGGCCAAGGATAGAAAACAGTGTCAGAAGAAAAAAAAAGATTGTCAAATGAAGGAGAGGAAAAGGAGATTGGAGCAGGAAGGACAAATGAAGTGAACCCTCCACTTTATTCTGGACACCACATCATAAGGCTTTGGTACCTGGGCCTGGCAGGGAAACGCTGGACCTTCTCATCTCCAAAGGTAAAAAAATATCAGTGTTAATGTGTTCACTTTTATTTACTGAGTGTCAGGAAGCACAGAGTGCCGTTGGGTAGGGGTGTTGCTGATTGGCTAGAGCGGTCAGCTGGCACTCTAAGCCAATCAGTAGCTCCCCATTCATAAAAAAGTAAAAATATTTTATGAACCGGGAACTAGCGATTGGCTTAGAGCGTCAACTGACCACTCTAGCCAATCAGCGGCACCCATGCCTGACGTCAATCTGCACTTCCTGACACTCTGTTTCAGAAGCCAAATACCACTGAGCGACCTGGAGCTGGAGGAAGCCTTTGGGGTTAAACCATTTGAGAGCGATTTAACCCCTTAAAGGAAAGCGAGCACCCAGGGGCTTCCTGGCATCATAGCATTTTCATTTAGGTGAAGTTGTTATGGTGACCAGAAATGTGCTTTAATTTGCTTAAAGGAACACTATAGTGTCAGGAATACAAACATATATTCCTGACACCATAGTTGTGAAAACACTATTCACCCTGGCTTTATGGGATAATGGCTATGCCCCTTCCCTTTCATGACACTGTCAAAAAGGTACCAAGCATTGATGTCATTACAATTATGCCCCCCCCTGGAAAAATTCCTGCGGACGCCCATGGTCGCTTGGAATGTTCGCGCTGTGCTGTCATCAGTTATGGCCATGCGTTCAAAAATGTAAAATTGTTGTATTTTGTCTCTTAGCTGGGCTTTCGTTGGGCACAGTGTAGATTTCCAGTTCAAGGCCAATAGATTGCGGGCTGCAAGGGTGGTGAGTGCGCTCAGTTGTTTTTGTGATTTGTCAAATAGTGGCGGAAACCGCAGAAGTAGGTACACCTCTGGGGTTTTTTGGGTGTTGGGCACGTGGAGGATACGAAGTGTGCGATGCACCTCTGTCCAGAGAGGTTGTATGTTAGGACAGTTCCACCATATATGTATGAGTGTACCCTCAGAAGCCTTACATCTCCAGCATAGCGAAGATGTGTTTGGGTAGATTTTGTGAAGCCTACTTGGGGTTAGGTACCATCTATATAACAGTTTCCTATGGGCTTCGATGTGTGTGTAGCAACGTGTCCATTTGGATATGTCATTGAGTGCATGTATCCATTCCCTATCTGTGAGTTGGATGGAGCAGTCTGCTTCCCATAAAGTTTTACATTTAGGTGTAGTAAGGGGTAGGGTGTCCTCCCATGCTTTATAGCAGAGGGAGATGGCTTTTGATTTCGTTGGTGCTTTCCTACATCGTTCTATTATCGCTTCTGTTGGGAGAGATGTTTGGTTTGTGTTGGGGTGTTGGTGGTGCACATGGGTGGTGATCAGACCCTTAAGTTGGAGATAGGTGAATATGGTGTTGTTGGGTAGGTCCCATGTCTTTTGTATTTTGGGGAATTTCATCAATCCTTGTGGCTGTAGTATGTGGTGTATATGGGTGATTCCTGCCTTCAACCATTTTTGTAAATGGATATCTGGTGAGATTGCCCTTAAGGCTGTTAGAGGCGCTTTAGGATGGAAGGTATGTTTGGCTCCTAGGGTCTCTAAGAAGGTTGTCCATACTTGGAGGGTAAATTTTGTTGTAGGGAGTAGGTCGGCCTTAGGTGGCCTGAGTTTTCTTGGGGTCCACATGTAGTCTAGTGCCGTGTTATCTTGGAATTGGGCTTTTTCCAGGTCAACCCATTGGGTATTCCCTACTGGGGTATGCATGAGTATTCCCGCTGTCAAGGCGGAGGCTTTGTAATAGAAGCCTATGATGGGCAGTCCCATACCTCCCTGTGATGCGTGTCTCTGCAGTATGGTATGTGGTATGCGTGGTCTCTTATTTCCCCAGATATACTTGTTGCATATATTTTGGAGGGTTTTGATGAGTGTTTGCGGGATCTGAATGGGAAGCATTCGGAAAATATAAAGTATTTTTGGTAGGATCACCATCTTATATGCGTTCATTTTTCCTAGCCATGAGATGTTTGTCTGTGTCCATTTTTGGACTTCTTTCGTGCATTGTTGTGGAAGGGTGCCGTAATTAAGTTTTGTTATCTCGGTTATTGAGGGTGCTATTTTTACCCCTAAGTATGTCAGGGAGGACGTTCTCCAATCAAATTGGAATTTGTCTTTTAGAAAGGTTGTAGTGGTCGGGGGGAGTCTAATAGGTAGAGCCTGGGTCTTGTCTTGGTTTAGGCGGTAATGCGATATATCACCAAACTCTATTAGGGCCTCCATAAGGTATGGTACCGACGTTTGAGGGTTCCCTAGCGTCACTAGGATATCATCGGCGAATAGTGCCAATTTGTATTCATGTGTTCGGATTTTTATGCCCTCTATGCCAGGGTGGGAGCGTATTTTTTGGGCTAGGGGTTCTAGGGATAAAATGTAGAGTAAGGGAGAGAGAGGGCAGCCCTGTCGGGTCCCATTTGATATCGGGAATGTGTTGGAGAGGAAGCCTCCATGTGAAACCCTGGCTGCTGGTGTTGCTTATAGTGCCATGATACTTCTAATAGTCTCAGGAGGAAGGCCATATTTTAGGAGTACCTCCCGAATGAAGGACCAATTTAGTTGGTCGAAGGCCTTCTCCGCATCTAATGCAAGGAGCAGGCCTCCAACCGAGTTGAGTTCCATTGTGGCCAGTATGCTAAGGATTTTTCGGGTATTGTGTGAGCCTTGTCGCCCTTTCACAAACCCAGTCTGGTCATTGTGTACCAAACTGTTTAATACGGGTGTAAGTCAGTTGCTTATTATTTTTGTGTACAGTTTGGCGTCGCTATTTAGGAGGGATATGGGCCGAAAGTTTTTACATACAGTGGGGGGTTTCCCAGGTTTGGGTAAGGTAGTAATGTGGGCTAGAAGCATCTCTGCTGGCAACGCTCCCTTTCCTGCGCAATGTTGAAAGAGGTTCGTTAGGTGTGGAGTTAGTAGTCCGGAGAACTCTTTGTAATATTT